TGATTTCCGAAATTTCGTAAATATCGAACTTTTTTAAAGGAAAATTTCGGAATTCTTTTAAATAACGAAACGCAAAAAAAACCTAAGATGAACCAGCTTCTGCCAACCTAGCAGTTTGAAAATATGCAAATGTGAGTAGATCAATAGGTACCGCTCCGGCGGGAAGGTAACAGCGCTCCATGCAGTCATGCTGGCCACATGACCTTGGAGGTGTCTACGGACAACGCTGGCTCTTCGGCTTAGAAATGGAGATGAGCACCACACCCCAGAGGCAGACATGACTGGACTTAATGTCAGGGGACTACCTTTACCTTTACCTATACTTTCCACATAATCACCAGACAATTGGATACATTTCTGCCAATGATGAACAAGTTTTCTGAAGCCGTAAAGGAAGAAGTCGACACTCTGTTTCCGCAACCAGCATTTCACAGATCTTCCAATAGCCAAGCAAAGCAATAATGTGACCCATGCGTTCTTGTGAAATGCTTGAAATTTCTCTCTGAGTGATACGACGATCGTCCTGAATCAATCTGTCAACCTTTGGCTTGTGAAACTCAGTGGTTGCTGTCACAGGACGTCCAACTCTTTGTTTGTCATGCAAGTCAGATGTTCCCACTTCAACATCTTTAAACTTACTCTCCCAATGACGCACAGTACTCAAATCAACACAATCACCACAAACAGCTTGCATTCTCAGATGAATCTCCTTTGGGGTGACATCTTCTGCTGTCAAGAATTCAATGACTGCATGTTGCTTAAGTCTCATTGACTGACCATCTGCGCAGGATTCCATACTTCGCACTTAAACAACACAACCGTTCAATACTAAGGCTTCCCGTCAAAATGGAACTGTAGAGGATAGTCTACTGAACAAGCCAGTACCTGTCGCATACCAGTACTACAATCTGTTGAGGAGTTACGAAGGTGGAGGCATTACTTTTCATTCCACCCTCATATGATAATGCTGAATTAGTGCTGCCACTTCATATTTTTCATCTGCGACCATCTGCACAGGGTTCCATACTTCACACTTAAACAACACAACCATTCAATGCTAAGGCTTCCCGCCAAATGGAACTGTAGAGGAGAGTCTACTGAACAAGCCAGTTTTGCCAACTATGAACAAGTTTTCTGAAGCCATAACGGAAGAAGTCGACAATCTGTTTCCGCAAGCAGCGTCTCACAGATCTTCCGATAGCCAAGCAAAGCAATAATGTGACCCATGCGTTCTTGTGAAATGCTTGAAATTTCTCTCTGAGTGATACGACGATCGTCCTGAATCAATCTGTCAACCTTTTGCTTGTGAAACTCAGTGGTTGCTGTCACAGGACGTCCAACTCTTTGTTTGTCATGCAAGTCAGATGTTCCCACCTCAACATCTTTAAACTTACTCGCCCAATGACGCACAGTACTCACATCAACACAATCACCACAGTGGTTGTTCTGTCACGTGCTGGACCTGTAAAGAATTTCCTTTAGAACAGGACATGCAACCTTTGCCCAGCGGGAAGCCAGGGGGCCCAAGGAGAAGTTCTCAGAGTATTGAAGACAGTCTTCAATAGCTTCTTCTTTACTTTAAAGGAAAATCCCCTTTTTAACTTCTCCCAGGCTGACTGTAATCTAACTCTCACTGATGTGGGCTCCACTACCGGGTCGAACTGCGTCTCGAAGCACCGAGTGGACCTACCAGTAAAGGCTTAGATATTCTCCAGCTGGAGTTCTTTGGTCTTTAGGGCTGTTTTCCTGGAAATCTTTGGAGACTCTTATGACTGTTTTCCCCTCGGAAAGTCTTAAGGGTTGAAGCTTTTGTACAGGGGGAGCTTGCACACATCCTGTACATTAGCTTTCCTTGCTGAGACTAACTACAAAATGGCTCCCTTCCCTTCCCAATTGCCCTGAGCAGGGGCTGGCAATCTGGCAGATGAATAAAGGACTGTGACGACGGATAGGAATGGACAATGTGGAACGAAATATGACTCTGAGTTGGCGAACGCTGTGTCTGAGATTGGCTATCGATTGTGAGATATATTGTTGTTTTAATTGTTTTAATTGTTGACCATTTAATTGCTATGGTATTGTATTCGTGTAGGCACCGAGATGTGCCTTTTTGTAAGCCGCCCTGAGTCCCCCCTCGGCGGTTGAGAAGGGCGGGGTAGAAGTATACGAAATAAATAAATAAATAAAGAAGGAGCCTCCACCACACTCCGGGGCAGTGAGTTCCACTGCTGAACGGCTCTCACAGTCAGGAAGTTCTTCCTCATGTTCAGATGGAAAGACCCCATTCAAGCCCTCCCAACAGATGGCCATCCAATTCCAACCCCATTCTGCCAGGCAGGAAGACACCATTCATTCTACAAATATAGCATCCCAAGCATATAGGATCAAATAGCAGAATAATAATAATAATAATAATAATAATAATAATAATAATAATAATCCAAAATAATACATATATCAACTATAATAGGCTTTAGTTCAATGRTATGACACATAAAAATCGATCCCAAAGAACTACAAAAAATTGAACTGGCCCAACGAATCCATACAGCTATGTTATAATTGGCAATATATATCTTTACATTTATATAACCCTTTCAAAATATTTTTGATAACATGTTAATTATAAAATATTTATTTAATTTTAAAATATTTAATTATTTTCATTTAAAAATATTTAACTTCTGAATATTTCATATACTTAGATATTTTAAATTTAAAATATTCGTTTAAACATATTTTAATATTTTCATTATAAAATATTTAATTCTTTCTTTCTAAAATATTTCATTGACATATTTTGATTTTTTTAAAATTATTATTGACATTACATTATTTTATGTTAATATTTGAAATTTAAAATATAAAATGGTTTAATTTTAATATTATTCCTTTCATTTTAATATTAAAATTTATACATGTTTCATATTTACATTTCGTAATACTTTAATTTATTTTATTTGGTTTAATTATTTAATTTAATTATTTATTTTAATTGTTTACCTTTACAAAATTTAAATCTAAAAATACTTAATTCACTTTAAAATATTTTACTGTTAGTATTTTAATTTAAAAAGTATTTAGTTGTTTACTTTTCAAATATGTTCCATATCTCCAAGCTAGGCCAAAACAACGAGTGGCGAGGAGGGAGGCCGGGGAGGGGGGGGGATCGCCAGGGAAGGAAGGGGCCCTTGGATGCCACGCACGCACGGAAGGACGGGCGCRGGAAACCCTTTGAGGTATAGGAAGGGGCCCCAAAGACCATCCAGCCCAACCTCATTTTAGAGTAAAGAAAGACACCATCAAAGCCCTCCCGACAGATGGTCAACCAGTGGGAAGGGAGTCCCAGAGCCCATCCAGTCCAACCCCATTTGTCTGTCTGTCTGTATGTCCATCCATCCTTCAATCCATCAATCACTCCATCTACATATCTATCTACCTACGACCTACCAACCTATCTATGTTCTATCCATCTACCTTCTGTTCCATCTATCTATGTCCCTTCCATCTGTCCCTTCTGTCTATTGCTTTAACTGGGCCACAGCAATGCGTGGCAGGGTACAACTAGTCTTTACATCAAAGTTCTTGGGTATTTTCACTTCTCATTTGCTTATCGTTGTAGTTCAAGCAACTGKAAACCTTTCCTGTACAGTTTTGTGGTCCTCCAAGAAAGACCCAACTTGGTAAACAACTGGAAATATTCTCATTTCCATCTACTCTCCTGGATTCTGTCCTATTGGTGCTTGGAGAAGTCAGAAACCTGTGATTCGAAGACATCGGGAATCCAGAATCCATATGTGAAGTTCAACAGTTCATACGGTCCACGCTCTTGTTACATCCCGAATAGACTACTGCAATGCGCTCTACGTGGGGTTGCCCTTGAAGACTGTTCGGAAACTTCAACTGGTCCAGTGAGCGGCAGCCAGATTGCTCACCGGAGCGACATACAGGGAGCACACCACCCCCCTGCTGTGCCAGCTCCACTGGCTGCCGGTTCAGTTCCGAGCACAATTCAAGGTGCTGGTTTTGACCTACAAAACCCTGTATGGTTCCGGTCCAGTGTATCTGTCCGAACGTATCTCCCTCTACGTCCCACCCCGGAGTCTGAGATCATCTGGGGAGACCCTGCTCTCGACCCCAGCACTGTCACAAGTGAGGCTGGTGGGGACAAGGAGCAGGGCTTTCTCAGTGGTGGCCCCTCACCTGTGGAACTCACTCCCGGGGGAAATCAGGGCATCATCATCCCTCCTCGCCTTTAGGAGGAGGGTGAAGACGTGGTTATGGGACCAGGCCTTTGGGCACTCTGGCAATTAAGTTAGACAATCAGGCGAGTAAGACCAACAGGATTGATGAAGTGGAACGTAAAACCAGATCTATGAGTTAGCGAACGCTGACAATGTAAGAGGAGAAATTGGGTTTGTATTGGTTTTATTGATTTTATTGATTTTATGGTTATAATGCATGAATTGTTGTTAACTGTGAATTGATGTAATTTTGTGTATGATTGTTTTATGATGCAGGCATCAAATTGTGCCTTTGCCTTTGTAAGCCGCCCTGAGTCCCCTTCGGGGTGAGAAGGGCGGGGCAGAAGAAGAACCCCAAATAAATAAATAAATACATAAATAAATATGAGGAGTATACACTGGGAAAGTCATGAAAGTCATGTTCTCATTTCCATCTACTCTCCTGGATTCTGTCCTATTGGTGCTTGGAGAAGTCAGAAACCTGTGATTCGAAGACATCGGGAATACAGAATCCATATGTGAAGTCCAACAGGTCATACTAGGAGTATACACTGGGAAAGTCATGTCAGTTTTTGGAAGATTATTTTTCCAGGAAGGCAGTTTTTGACAAATCACGTAAGGGTTATCAGATATGTTGGGTTTTTTTTTTTTTTGGAATAAATTTTTATTAAGCGTATATTGTATTTACATGGAAAGAGGGAGAATAAATTGAAGAAGATAGAAAAGTAGGAAAAGAATCTATAATAATTACAGAAATAAGAGACAAGAAAAAATGCAATAATAATAATAATAAAAGATATGTTTTTAAAACTTTTTTACAGGTGGAAGGAAAGCGTGTATAAAGTTCCCACGGAGTCTCTGGGACAACTACCCTGGCATGTTGCTGGCCACTGCAGTCTCCCCATGCATGACACAACGGCAGTGCTCAGGGCTAGGCATCCCTTTCCGGGTTCTTTGGTTTTCTCAGTCCAGGAGCAATGTCAAGAGGGAGGCTCTTGTTCCATGCTACTTTGAAGCAAGTGCCTCACGTGGACCGTTGCATTCCCTTCTCAGTGCCAATGAAGACAGTGATCTTTGTGTAGAGAGGGTGCAATTCCTTGGAAAGCAGCTGGTACTCCAATGTGTTCATACCCTCCTGTTTCCATGTTCTCCTTGTCTTGGCCAGCAAGTTAAATCTCTTGGGCTTCTGCTCATTGCCCTTGTCGTGTCCATGTTTGATCATACGGTAACGGCCATGCTGAACAGATGGGCGAGAGATCACCGTCCCACTCAACGCCACCCGGACTGCAATGTCGTCATCTTCACCGCCCCAACCCCAATAGTTGTTGGGAAAGCCGTTCATCTTCATATATTGCTCTGGACTGAGTGCGGCAACACCTCCAAAGTAGGACTTGTAGGGAAGCTTGTAGCCAAACTTGTCCATAGAAACAGCCACATGTTTAGGAAACCGGTCACAGGTATACATGTTGCGATCATCTTCAGGGATAAGGTCCACATCATGGAAGAAAATACAATCCCAGTCTTCATCCTTCATAGCCTCCTTAAAGTCCACATTCAAGAGTTTGGCTCTATTATATATATATATCTATTATATATCTATACATATAAATTTCCTCCTGGCGTCGTATGAGGAAACAAAACTCTAAAACCCCCCAACGAAACTCCACCAAACTTCCCATGCCCCAAGGGCAACCAACAAGGTACAAACTAATCCAGTCAGAAATCAAAAACACACAACAACAACCACAATAAACGGCAAAGCAACTGAGCATGCGCACTACCGCAAACTCCCCGCCGCGCGCACACTCCACACTTTCCTCCCTCCCTTCCGGCAGCGCTCTCCTCTCCTCCTCTTTTCAGACTGAAACACGAAGCGGGGCATCGGGAAAAGGGGCTCCAAAGGGGGGCACCAGCAGCAGCAGCAGCAGCCCACTCCCTCCGGACAGAGTGACCACAAGGACTGCGACGCAGCCAGATCCCTCTCGGTAGGCTTCGGGGTGGACCCTCATCGACCCCCTTTGTCTCGCCCCTCGCCTCACCACAAACAGGCAACCAAGCCCCGCACGCTTCCACCGCCCACACAAACACACACACACACACGCACCACACTCCTTCCCCCCGCCCCCTTCCCGCACCGTTAACACCCATCCCAACTCCCCCTCCTCCCTCTAACCCAGCTCACGTCACCACCAAGCCACGCCCCCTTCCACTCTGTCTACACCCATCCCAACTCCCCCTCCTCCCCCCCCCACCCCCGCGCGGCACACACACACACAGGCTCCCTCACTACCTGTTGGGAAAGCAGCAGCAATGGCAGCAGTAACGGAGCATCCACGCAAGGAAGAAGGGGAGGGGGGAGGGGGAGGAGGAAGGTCCACCTTCCTTCTCTCCCTCCCCACCCTTCTTTCCTCCCTTTCTTTCCTTTTCTTCCTTCCTTCTCCTTCCTTTCCTTCTTTCCCTCCTTCCCTTCCTTCCTGTCCATCCTTCCTTTCCTTCTTTTCCTCCCTCCCTCCCTTTCCTCCTTCTTTCCCTTGCTTCATTTCCATCCCTCCCTCCTTTCTTCCCCTCCTTCCTTCCTTCTCCTCCTTCCCTCCCTCCCCTTTTCCTTCCTTGACTGTCCCTTCCATTTAATAAGGAAATGAAGGGGAAGGAAATGAAGAATGGGAAAGAAGGAGGAAAGGAAGGAGGGACAGGAAGGAAGGAAAAAAGGAGGGGGGAAAGAAGGGAAGGAAGGGGGAAAAAGGAGGGACATGAAGGGAGGGAGGAGAAGGAAGGTGGAACAACCAAAAATATTGTGTATCCACAAGTATTAGTAAATAACAGTTCTTAAATACCACTACTTTGTCAGTACTTTATTTTCCATAACAACACACTACGCCACAGCAACGCGTGGCCGGGTACAGCTAGTCTATTATATATCTATATAGTTCTTGGCTTAAAGCCCACATTCAAGAGTTTGGCTCTATTATATATATATATCTATTACATATCTATTATATATCTATACAGTTCTCGGCTTAAAGCCTACATTCAAGAGTTTGGCTCTATTATATATATATCTATTTACATATCTATTATATATCTATATCTATATATCTATTATATATATATATCTATTACATATCTATTATATATCTATATAGTTCTCGGCTTGATGGATGATGTAGATGCCATAGCGAAGCTGCTGCCTTTGTAAAAACGGGTGCAGGTAGTAGAGCAGATACTTCAAGTGTTGCTCCCGATTGAGCTGAAGACTTCCCTGCAGGTAAGAGAGGACCAATTAGATTGGGATTTGGAAGAAAGAGATCTGAAGATCTAATARCTTRCTCGCTTGACCCAGGGAAGGAGGGAGGAAAGGCAGAAAACCCTACTTGGTGGGTTGAAGGGAGAGCCACCACTAGTCCCAACCCTTCACCTACAGACACGCACAAGATCCCTTCCACCAAGCAACTGGGGATATTGTACGCTCTGCAAACTTCCCTCTCTTTGGYTTGCTGTGAGTTTTCCGGGCTGTGTGGCCATGTTCCAGAAGCATTCTCTCCTGACGTTTCACCCTCGCGACTCAGAGGTTGCGAAGATGCCTGCCATAGATGTGGGCGAACATGGCCAGACAGCCAGGAAAACTCACAGCAACCCAGTGATTCCGACCATGAAAGTCTTCGACAATACACGGAACCACAAGTGCTTTCCTGTCACTCAATGGAGATGAGTGACAGGCCTAAGGAGGAGCAGGAACCTTACCTTTTTCCAGCAGTTGGAGCCACTGTGCCCCTTGGCCTGCAGATCTTTTTCAGCCTTTGCCAGGCCCTTCCCAGCCTCCCCATGCCAGATGCCACAAAGTCTGCCTCGTCCTCCTCATCCTCCTCTTCCTCCTCGTCGTCATCCTCCTCCTCTTCGTCCTCCTCATCCTCCTCGTCGTCAGCGTTGTCGTCGTCGTCCTCCTCATCCTCGTTGTCGTTGTTGTTGTCCTCCTCCTCATCGTCCTCCTCCTCCTCCTCGTCCTCTTCCTCCTCTATAGGGACAGAATGCGTCAAAATTTAGCTTGAAATTTGGACATTAAGACTTCATCTTCTGTGCCACAATCCAATCCTAATCTTGCCTTTGCAGGGAGAATTGAGCCTCTCCATCATCTGCTGATGTCGCCTCTTGGATTTCTGTACTGACCATCGAGCAACATGCAAAGAAACAAATAAATAATGTAGCGTGTTCTGTCTTGTCCGCAGTAGTAGATCTGGTGGCCATCTGATGTGAAGTGGCCCATTCCAGTCCATTTCAGTTCGCTGACCCCCAGAATGTCTATCTTTAGTCTTGACATCTCACCAATAACAACATGCGACTTGAGCCCAGCGGGAAGCCAGGACCCCCCGAAGAGAAGCTCTCAGAGGTTTTCCACCACAAACGATCTTTAGATGGCTTGTGAAGTATAACAAAGTCCTTTATTAATGAACAATCAAACAGAAACTTCTCTTGTCCACCCTTCACCCCCTAAGGCGGGGGTGCCACGGTGCCTACCATAACCATTTCACCTTTAACATGCCACAAAAAGGGACAGGCGTCTGGCTAGTCCCTTTTCCCCACTAGGCTGGCCAACATCTCTTTTATTCCCTCTTTCAAATCACTCACAAACAAAACATTCTCCTCATCTGAGAGGTACACTCCATCGGGCCTGAACAACTCCGGCCGTTTGAACATAATTTCTCGGTGCAGGACTAAACAGCCCCCAATCTGCCCCATGGCAGTTTCCACTTCCCGATTGACCTTCCTTCTGGCCAAATCGAGTTTCTTGGGATCACAATCCCTTGGCCACCGCAATCATGGCAACGGTGCCAACCATGCAATCCGAACTCCAGGCCACCGTTGCCTGATGAGATTGCAATCTTTCTGGGCTTGATGAACACAATTTCTTGGTGCAGGACTAAACAGCCCCCAATCTGCCCCATGGCAGTTTCCACTTCCCAATTGACCTTCCTTCTGGCCAAATCGAGTTTCTTGGGATCACAATCCCTTGGCCACTGCAATCATGGCAACAGTGCCAACCATGCAATCCGAACTCCAGGCCACCGCTGCCTGATGAGATTGCAATCTTTCTGGGCTTGATGAACACAATTTCTCGGTGCAGGACTAAACAGCCCCTGATCCACCCCATGGCAGTTTTCATTTCCTAATTGACCTTCCCCCTGGCCGAATCGAGTTTCTTGGGATCACAATCCCTTGGCCACTGCAATCGTGGCAACAGTGCCAACCCTGCAATCAGAACTCCAAGCCACCATTGCCTGATGAGATTGCAATCTTTCTGGGCTTGATGGACACAATTTCTCGGTGCAGGACTAAACAGCCCCCAATCCACCCCATGGCAGTTTTCATTTCCCCTTGACCTTCCCCCTGGCCAAATCGAGTTTCTTGGGATCACAATCCCTTGGCCACTGCAATCGTGGCAACAGTGTCAACCATGTAATCAGAACTCCAAGCCACCATTGCCTGATGAGATTGAAATCTTTCTGGGCTTGATGGACACAATTTCCCGGTGCAGGACTAAACAGCCCCCAATCCACCCCATGGCAGTTTTCATTTCCCAATTGACTTTCCCCCTGGCCAAATCAAGTTTCTTAGGATCACAATCCCTTGGCCACTGCAATCGTGGCAACAGTGTCAACCATGCAATCAGAACTCCAGGCCACCGTTGCCTGATGAAATTGAAATCTTTTGGGGCTTGAAAAAATAGTGCCTTTTCCTTTAATAGACCTGAATCATTGTCCCCCAACTGTACAATTAACATATCATGAGGAGGTCCCCACCTCTCCTTGAATAACATTGATAATAGCACCCTGCATCGGAGTCCTCTTCTACCCCACCAGTCAACTATAACCTGGTCGCTCAGACCCAACTGGGTTCCAAGGTGACTTCAATGGGCATGTCTCTCCACCCAGAAAACCAAGCTATGGGCACAGACGAGGACACACCTGCGAAGCAATCTGCATCTGTGAACTAAACAAAAGAAGGGGGTCAATCATCACTGAGTCATTGTCTGGAATGGTTGTTACCACGCTTAAATGCCTTTGAGCACTATTTCCCCATGCGCTGAACATCTTGGTCTTTGAATCCCACGCCATAGCGCTGCCCCAATCCAAAGGAATAAGTTCCGAAATTGACCCCACCCAAGCCCAAAACTTGTAGGGCCTGTGAGGTAACTTTCCAGAATTGATATTTTGTAAGTGGGAGGGAGCCCACATGCCTAAAAAGGACACACGAGTCTCTTTCTCTTACCTCTATGAATCGATGAAGAGCTCTCACAGGGCACAAGGTCTCATCAGCACAGGTAAGTAACTGCACTTTAGTTCCTCTTACCCGTTTGCTCCGTTTTGGAATAGTGAATATGCAAGATTGCCTATTCTGGCCCTAACTCCAGATCCTGCATTGACAGCGCCCTATCTGAGCCATCTCTATGATCTTATCACTAATTCGCTTACCTGAAGGGCCCCAGAGAAAGCAGTCAGAGCTGCAGCATGGAAAAGCAAGGCCTCGAAGTGAGAATGACAATTCCCAGGCCAAACATTTGCCAAACGCTTCAAGGTGGCTGGCCCCAGTGGCACCCGAGTATCTTTCATCGTGCCACACTCCCAAGACTGCCCTTCTAATATTTTATGAACCCCAAAACTCTTGGTTGGGTTTGGGTACCGCCATCTTTCTATTGCAACTATCTTGAATCCCAAATTCCCAGCAGCATTTATTTTGGTCCCCTTGTTTGAAACTAGCATTGCTAGGGGAAAAACTAGTCCTTTCCAACAAATGGCCACTGTGGGCCCTGTCCCCTAGCATGAGGCGGGCAGGGTTCATGATCCTCATCCACATCTCAGGAAATGGCCTATCCCTTGGCAAAGTAGGAAAGGAGGCAGCCTTCAATGAAAAGACCCATCGTAGGAGAGCCATGCGGGTCCTTGATAGTCTGTATAAGCTTTCAGTATAATGTCTAAGTATTAGGTCAAGGTGTAAGCTGACCATGGCTGTACCCTGACAATGGCTTCCATGTAAATAACCTAACCTGCTAACCAGATACGCCAGGTTCTATCTACCTTCTGTTTCTTTACCTTTTCTCATTCTTTGTCATCCAGTTGCTCCCAGTATTATTATTTTTTATTACCTTCCTGTGTAATAATGAGAATATATTGACATACTCACATACTCATCAACATACCCTTCAAAATTTTATCAATTGTTCTCTGAGTAAGATGATCTCCTAGCTCCATAGTCAGGTTACCTCGTGGGATGGCCAAGTAGGCTTGCAAGGTGGGCTGTTGTCCCACCCAGCCCTGCCCATAAACCAACACTCCAGGCTAAGCTCCACTGGTGGCTTTGTGTGTGCAATGGCACCACCTGATGTTACTGTTGATGACGGGCCTGCCAGAGCATTTCCAACAGAAAGTGACCCAGGGCCTGCCACCGAGCTCGGTTGTGTGCCTATTGCCATAGGAACCAAGGGGGTAACACCTACATAAGGTGGGGCCTGAAGCACAGTTGGTGCCATCTAAGAATATGTCGGGACCTGGGGTGCTGATAATGCTGCTGTAGAGGCCATTGGAACCAAAAAGGCAGGCACATGAGACACCACTGGTGCAAACTCTGGCAGGGGCCACTGCTCCAGAAAAGGCAGGCAACTGAGGCACTGTTGGTGCCACCTGAGAATGGGTAACAGTCTGAGGCACTGGAGATAGTAATGCAGAAGCCTTGGTGCTAGAAATGACAGAAGCCTGGGGCACCGTTGGTGGCACCTGAAAATAGGAAGGAGCCTGAGGCAGTGAAGGTAGTATTGTAGGGTAAGCAGGAGTCTGAGGCACCTGCAAAGGCACCACAGGAGCCCGCACACTTCCCCAGGGCCAAGCCCACCACTGCTGCTCCCAGGATTGTCAAATATTGAGAGGACCATGAAGAGTTCAATATTGCTGGCCCTGCAAAGGATTGAAGCTGGAGTGTAGCTGCACCTGCATTCTGGTGAGTGCCCTGTTGAAACCTCTGTGCAGGCAGCTGGGGCAATGGTGCAGCCCCCCCAGCAGCGACCTGTTGAACCGGTGTAGCCCCCTGCGGCCCAGCAACTGATTCAGGGCAGTAGTGCCCACCTCCTGGGCAGCAGGGCCCCCCTGCCCTCGGAATGTGTTTTCTCCATGAATGTGTTTACCTGCTGAAGCAGAGGGGCCCAGGAAATAAAGAAGTCAATCCCTAATTGATGGCCTATGCCCTAATGGCACTATCTGCCAAATGCAATGAAAAATGGTAAGTTTGATGAAACAAAATGGCTGCCAGTAGGTCAGGCTTCCATAAAGATACTACAAAATGGCCACCCTACTACCAAACAGGGTCCCTGCTGTTTAGAGATTAGGCCCAAAACAAAATGGCCGCCTTGGCAAGCAAAGGTATTAGAACAAAATGGCCGCCACACTACCAGGCAGGCTTTCTCCTGGCCATGTGGTTAGGCCCAAAAATCAATTATAGCTATCCTATCAATGTTAGTGGGGCAGAAAGTGTGGAATAACTATAATACTTTTTTTTTGAGGGGGAAGGGGGCAAAATAGCAAGGGTATAATTAGAGCAGCAAGCAGGGGCACTCCCCAGGCAGATTGGTCCCCCCCCCCCCCCCCAACAAACAGGCCTTCCTCCCAGGAGCAGTTGGCACTGTGAAAGCAGCCCAGGGAGCTGCTGGCAACTGCAAAGGAGGGTGAGCCTCTAAAGGGGCAAGAGAAGCACCCAGGGGCCCCTCCAAAGGAAGTCCTACCAGAAAGGCCTCTCCCCAGGGAGTGGGGTGGAGAAGGACACACACACTTCCTCCCGGAGGCACGCAGAGGGAAGAGTGGGCTCTCTGGCACTGCTGCAAGAGAGGGCAGGCCCAAAGGGGGGGGGGCCCTCCAAGGAAGGAAGGAAGAAGCCTGGAGGCAGAAGGGGCTGCAGGCCTCTGAGGGGCAAGGAAGGAGGTGGGCAGTCCTGGAAAGGCGCCTTAAAGGGGGAAAAACAAAAACAAGGTGCTGCCAGTGCCACTGGAGCCACCCAAGAAAGGAGCAGCCACCCAACTCACCCCCTCCCAGCCCCACACAAACCAGCCTGGAAGAAGAGATCCAGTCCTGCGAAGAAGGCCAGACCAGAAGCTGACTCTCTCAGGCACAACCTCTTCTCACGCCGTCCAAAGGAAACTGAAAGAAGAACAGAGCAGCCTCACCCAACTTTCTGCTCCGCCCCCTCACATGCATGGGCCAGCAACTACCTGGCCCAAACCAAGTCTGCCTCCTTCATGGGGTAATTCAAAATGCCCTCCCGCATCCTAAGCTTTGCTTGGCTGCGGGTGGGGCATGAGAGTGGAGGCCAGGGTGTGGGTGGCCATCCTCAACCTCTGGCTCAGACTGTCCCGTGCACCCCTTGGCCTTGCCCCACTAACCATGGAGGATGACTTCCAATCCACATGGAAGCAGGCAGTAGCATCCAAAATCTCCTCGTTGGGATTTTCTCCAGGTCTACTATTAGCTATGGATTACAATCAAGCCAAAGCACTTATTAAACAACGTATCACAGACACAGAGCGCCAACTAGATCTGGCCTCGGCTCCAAGCTTCCTTATCAGTGAAGACAGCAGATACCTTGCCTCCCCTATGGCATATTTTAACATACTTAGAGGTTCCTATTCATCGAAGGGCTTTCACCCTGGCCCGATGCCACGCTCTCCCATCAGCTGTACTCGAAGGCCGCTACCGGAAGATCCCTTTCCCAGAGAGACTCTGCTGCCCCTGTGACTCGGGTCATGTAGACACAATAGAACATGTGCTCCTTCAGTGCCCGTTCTACAGGGATATCCGTGCCAGGCTTATCTTACCTCTGATAGACAAGCACCCAGGCCATTCAGGACAATTTTATACCTCCCTGCTACTTGCAGATACTAATTCAGCTACAACCTACAATGTCGCAAAGTTCTGTGCAGCAGCATACAAAATCCGCCAGGGAATGACTAGTCCCAAAAGTCAACTGTGTGTCCAGTAATCTTCTTCCCTGAATCTACAATTTGGTGATGGATCTGGGCATTGTATGTTTTTACCCTGTTTCCCCTTCTGCTCCCTCACCCATATTGTGTTTTTAGTAGTTATATTTATATTTTTAATGTACCAAACATGCCAGGTTTGTATGGAAATGTGACACTATTTCCTGTGCTGGTCAATGACTGAAATAAATGTTTTGATTTGATGTGGTCCTAAAAGCGGCTCGATATCATGTCCATCCATCCTTCAATCCATCAATCACTCCATCTACATATCTATCTGCTAGGCTTGGGCGGTTTCGTTCGTTAATTTCGTAATTTGTTATTAATTCGTATTTAAATTAGCTTACGATCCAATATTGAGCCACGCAGGAATAGTGTGAGGAGTAAATTAGATTCGAAACAATTTTTTCAATTTATTTCGTAATCCAGAGAAGCCAGCCATAGCAGAGCACCTGATGAACCAGCCTGGACACAGCATATTATTTGAGAACACAGAAATGCTGGACCACACCAACAACCACCATGTCAGACTACACAGAGAAGCCATTGAAATCCACAAGCATGTGGACAATTTCAACAGAAAGGATGAACAAAATCTGGCTACCAGTATTAAAAAACTCAAAAATTACAGCAGCAAAACAACAGAGGGGAAACAAACAGGCACATGAAATCACTCTCAACAAAAGATTCCCCCCAGGCGCTTCCAAGCCATTGAATGCAAATCAAGGTGATCAGCTGAAACATTCACAGCTAGCCCCAGCAAACAAAAGTCCTTTGTCTCACCCTGGTCATTCCACAGATATATAAACCCATTTTTCCTAGTTCCAACAGACCTCACTACCTCTGAGGATGCTTGCCATAGATGCAGGCGAAACGTCAGGAGAAAAATTGCCTCCAGAACATGGCCATATAGCCCGGAAAAACCTACAACAACCCAGTGATTCTGGCCATGAAAGCCTTCGACAATATTTTGAATTCCTCTCCATTTGGTAATATTTCGTAATTATTTCGTAATTATTTCGTAATTATTTTGTAATTATTTTCGCATGTCTGGTGCAAGTTTTATAGTTGTTGTTTGTTTTCTCACACCAACAGTCAACAACAGAGGGAGAGGGAAGCTTCAGAAGTTCCCCCTGTCCCATTTGGAGTGTTTTTTAGCATATTGCGCAATCGCGTCCGCCATTAACGAATCGATTCGTAATTATACGAAATTTCGGAAATTTCGAAATTTTTAAAAGCAAAATTTCGGAATTCTTTTAAAAAACAAAACACAAGGGCCCCCTAAAAACGAAACGAGTTTAGAACCAAATTTTTCCGTGGTTACCCAAGCCTAGTATATAGTCATAATTCCAACAGACCTCACTACCTCTGAGGATGCTTGCCATAGATGCAGGCGAAACGTCAGGAGAAATGCCTCTAGAACATGGCTCTATAGCCCGAAAAAAACCCACAAGAACCTAGTGATTCCAGCCATGAAAGCCTTCGACAATACGTTATCAGATATGGGTTTTTTTGGAATAAATTTTTATTCAGCGTATATTGTATTTACATGGAAAGAGGGAGAATAAATTGAAGAAGATAGAAAAGTAGGAAAAGAGTCTATAATAATTACAGAAATAAGAGACAAGAAAAAATGCAATAATAATAATAATAAAAGATATGTTTTTAAACAATTTTACAGGTGGAAGGAAAGCGTGTATAACGTTCCCACGGAGTCTCTGGGACAACTACCCTGGCCATGTAGATGATGCCATAGTGAAGCTGCTGCCTTTGTAAAAACGGGTGCAGGTAGTAGAGCAGATACTTCAAGTGTTTCTCCCGATTGCGATGGGGAATGATCACAGCTGTTTTATGGGTGGAATCAGAGTCTGTGGGCCGGTAGCGACCCCCTTTGCTCACATAAGGATTCTTCTGCACAATGTCTTCCAGTGTCAGGCCTGGAGGAAAGGACACCCGAATGGGGCCTCCAAGGAAAGGAGACACCTCTGGACAGTAAGGAACGTCGTCCGGGGGCAGCAGAGGGGGTCAGGCAATCAAGCTGTTAACAGACGACATCTTAACATTGCTCTCGGTTGAATGAGCTGAAGACTTCCCTGCAGGTAAGAGAGGACCAATTAGATTGGGATTTGGAAGAAAGAGATCTGAAGATCTAATACCTTCCTCGCTTGACCCAGAGAAGGAGGGAGGAAAGGCAGAAAACCCTACTTGGTGGGTTGAAGGGAGAGCCACAACTAGTCCCAACCCTTCACCTACAGCCACGCACAAGATCCCTTCCACCAAGCAACTGGGGATATTGTACGCTCTGCAAACTTCCCTCTCTTTGGATTGCTGTGAGTTTTCCGGGCTGTGTGGCCATGTTCCAGAAGCATTCTCTCCTGACGTTTCACCCTCGCGACTCAGAGGTTGCGAAGATGCCTGCCATAGATGTGGGCGAACATGGCCAGACAGCCAGGAAAACTCAATGCAACCCAGTGATTCTGACCATTAAAGTCTTCGACAATACACGGAACCACAAGTGCTTTCCTGTCACTCAATGGAGATGAGTGACAGGCCTAAGGAGGAGCAGGAACCTTACCTTTTTCTAGTACTTGGAGCCACCGTGCCCCTGGGCCTCCAGATCTTTTTGAGTCTTCTCCAGGCCCTTCCCAGCCTCCCCCTTCCTCTCCAAGTGCTCCTGGTCAGATGGTCCTCTTCTTCGTTGTCCTCCTCCTCCTCCTCCTCGTCATTCTCATCGTTGTCGTCCTCCTCATCCTCCTCCTCTTCCTTGTCCTCCTCCTCATCCTCGTCGTTGTCCTCCTCCTCCTCGACCTCCTCCTCGTCCTCCTCGTCGTCCTCTTCCTCCTCTATAGGGACAGAATGCGTTACTTCAAAACTGATGTCCGTCAGGGTCTCCTCCGCGGGGGACAATTGGCGAGAGAGAGGAGGGTCGTAGAAGCCTTTCAAGCGGCCCATTTCCAATTCAGGTATTTTAGGAAGGGGGCTGGTGGTGGGGTCTTCCCTTCTCCTCCCCTCCTGTGCTCAACCCCTGGAAGGGAGATGCCCTTTGTGCCACTACCCCTGGGCCAGCGTGCAGGGTGGAAGGCCTACTCCCAGCTCTTGGAGCCCACTCTTCTGTGGATTATCCACTAGCCAGAGAAGCAGATGGCGAAAACGGAAGAACGGCCTGCCTCAAGGGAGCGTGCTTGCTCCATCAATGTTTCACATTTACACAAATGATCAGCCACTGCCAAAAGGGACAGAGAGTTTCATCTATGCTGACGATCGTGCCATCACCACCCAAGTAAGGAGCTTTGAAATGGTCGAACAGAACCTTCCCGAAGCTTTAGGTGCTCTTACTGCCTGTTACAGGGAAAACCAGCCGATTTCTGATGTTTCACATTTATACAAATGACCAGCCACTGTCAGAAGGGACCAAGAGTTTCATCTATGCTGACGATCATGCCATCACCGCTCGAGCAGGGAGCTTTGAGATGGTTGAACAGAAGCTCTCCGAAGTTTTAGGTGCTCTTACTGTCTATTACAGGGAAAACCAGCTGATTTCTAGTCCATCTAAAACACAGACATGTGCTTTCCACCTTAAGAACAGACAAGCATCTCGAGCTCTGAAGATGACCTAGGAAGGAATCCCACTGGACCCAAATACCTGGGAGTCACTCTGGACCGTGCTCTGACCTACAAGAAGCACTGCCTGAACATCAAGCAAAAAGTGGGTGCTAGAAACAATATCATACGAAAGCTGACTGGCACAACCTGGGGATCACAACCAGACACAGTGAAGATATCTGCCTTGCGCTTTGCTACTCTGCTGCTGAGTACGCATGCCCAGTGTGGACTACATCTCACCACGTCAAAACAGTGGTGAGATGAGACACGCCGCAGTATCATAGGAATTCTACGCCCTACACCACTAGAGAAATTATACTATTTAGCCGGTATTGCACCACCTGACATCCACTGGGACATAACAGAAAGGACCTAGGCGGTGTCATTTCCAGCCCATCCACGGTTTGGATATCAGCCAGCACTCCAACGACTTAAATCAAGAAATAGATTCCTAAGATCTACAGAGACACTCGCAGGAACACCTCAGCAAGCGAGAGTCCAAAAGTGGCAGGCTCAAACCCAGAACCTCAATCAGTGGCTGATACCGAATGAGAGACTCCCCCTTGGTACACAGACTTGGAAGGCTCTGAACAGACTGTGCTCTGGCACCACGAGATGCAGAGCCAACCTTCAGAAATGGGGCCACAAAGTGGAATCCACGACATGCGAGTGCGGAGAAGTGCAAACCACACACCACGTACTCCAATGCAGTCTGAGCCCTGACACATGCACAATGGACAGGGGCGGCTCAACCCATTACACAAAGTAAGCATTTGCGGTATAGTTGATTTTGCACAGGGGCGCTCTTGGGGGAAAATAGGTCTTGACATATGTGAGTTGTAGTTACTGGGATGTATAGTTCACCTACAATCAAAGAGCATTCTGAACTCCACCAATGATGGAATTGAACCAAATATGGCACACAGAACTCCCACGATGAACAGAAAATATATATCAGTGATTGGTTGGGGGAGGGGGGGGATACTGTTTGCTTACCATTGAAAATTACCTGACAATGGAGGACCTTCTTACAACTGAAGTTGAACATGACCCACCCCACCCCACCCCCCCAGAGATAGTAACTTATAGTTTTGCTAAGGGCAAGGAGACCAGGCTGGATAACAAGGGTTAAGCCTTGGTCAGTTTGGTGGGTATCATTCAATCAAAGCTTTATATATTTGTGTATATGTGAAGTCAAACATGACCATTAGAGATAGTAACTTATAGTTTTGCTAAGGGCAAGGACACCAGGCTGGATAACAAGGGTTAAGCCTTGGTCAGTTTGGTGGGTATCATTCAATCAAGGCTTTATGCTCGATTCTCATATATTTACAGCAGGGGGTAACCCATTTATTACTGAAAATCATGCCACAAAAGTATTTGAATTTTCCCACCTGAGGCACACCTGGGCTCCTGATGGCCCCCCATCTCACAAACAAGGGACTCCCTTTCCCCCTCATGGATATTTCCCTTTATGGACACTGGCGGAAGGTAGTTGGGTTTACTCTCTGTATTATGATTTCTATATTTTCATATTTTCTCCTGTATTTCTATATTTCCCCCTCATGTTTCCTTGTATTCCTGACCCTTTGCCCCCTTCTCCCTCCAAAGAAGTATGTAAGGGAACCACCTGGCCTTCAGAAACAAAAGCCATTAGCGATTACTGAAACCTCCAGCCAAAGGCACACTTGCATGGATAATAGGAGGAGATTCTTATCTCTAGCATCCGAGATGGCCCACTAGAGTAAAGAATTGTTTGGCAAAGTTTCTATCACTCTTCAAGTAAGATCAGGGGAAATCTTCCCCTCTGCTTTTGGTTTATTTCCCACTGATAGCATTAACCCCAGGCTGCCATCAATTGTTCTCCTGTCTCACAGCCAGGAAGGATCTGGATATTTTTACACATGCTGATTTGCAACACTCATGAACACAATAGATCAGCCCTGCTGGAGACTTCCTTTTTTATCTCGCGAGCCACATGGCATTATTTTTTCAAAGCTAATTCCCAGATTCCTTTGTGTTCTATCATCCCGCCTCCCTCTCTCCTGATTTGCTCTCGCCGCCAGGTGGCAGAGGTCTCCCCATTGGATCCTACGGACCACTGGAGCTTCCTGATTGGTCCAGAGGTGCCAGGGGAGGGAGGGCCGCCTTCCAGCTGTTCCTCCATCGCCCAATCACGGCGGGGAACAACAGGGAAGCCGGGGCAGGGAGTTTGAACTCTGCAATTTTGAATTTACTATAAATATGATTGCATTGGTGTATTTTCTCATGCTCTGCTGGCGAATGATTGCAGCTCTGCATCCTTTTCAGCTGAATCGCAAATCAAACCTTGATGGCTTTTCTTCAACTTGGTGAGACCTTTCATTGGGAAATCAGGGTTAAATATTGGGTGCTTCTCTTCTCACCAGGAAAAAAGAACTCTTTGATGAGTCTCCTGGCAAAGACCCCTAAATTTTAGCTCTAGATCACAACAACACCAGAGTCACTCTAAGTGGCCAGCTACTGGTCAAAGGACATTTAGTGCAATGCCAAGTTTTAAAACTTTGTGTGTATGTGTGTGTTTAGAAATACATTACAACTGTACCCTCGGGTTCCTTCCGATACGATAAATGAATGAATCAAAATATCCCCTAGCTGTGCACCTGAATCTCCTGCTGCTGCTTCTTCTTCCTCCTTCTGCTCCTCCTGCTCCTCCTCCCCTTGCTCCTCTGCTTCTTCATCCTCCTCCTGCTCCTCCTGCTCCTCCTCCCCTTGCTCCTCTGCTTCTTCATCCTCCTCCTGCTCCTCCTGCTCCTCCTCCCCTTGCTCCTCTGCTTCCTCCTCCTCCTCATACTCCTCCGCTTCCTCCTCAGGATCTTGGCTGGAAGCACAGCTCTCCAAAGTCAGGTCTGCATCCTGGAGCACCGGGCTGAGGACGAGAAAGGGAAAAGGGTGGCAACCCCAGGACTTAGGAAACTAGGCCGCCATCATCCAAGTCAACAGGGACAAAGGTGAAATTCGACTTTGAGGTCAAAAGAACCAAAGGCACAGCTCTAGGAAGAGGGAATCTTGGCTCAGTCAGCAGCTCAACATGTGGAAAGAAGAACCTTGGGATGATGGCTGATCAGAAGCTGAACATGAACTTCAACAGCAGTGGGATTCAAGCCAMGAGGAGGTGGGGAAGAAATAGAATAATAATAATAATAATAATAATAATAATAATAATAATAATGATAATGATAARAATAATAATAATAATAATAATAATAATAATAATAATAATTTYTTYTTGTTGTTGTTGTTGTCGTTAGGTCAAGGTTTTCCCCTGACATTAAGTCCAGTTGTGTCCAACCCTGGGGGATGCTTCTCATCTCCGTTTTTAAGCCAAGGAGCCGGCGCTGTCCGTAGACACCTCCAAGGTCATGTGGCCGTTACCTGCCCACCAAAGCAGTACCTATTGATCTACTCACATTTGCATGTTTTCGAACTGCCAGGTTGGCGGAAGCTGGAGCAAACAGTGGAAGCTCACTCCGCTCCCTGGATTTGAGCAGCTGACCTTTTGGTCAGCAAATTCAGTAGCTCAGCGGCTTCACCCACCCCGCCACGCGAGGTTCATAATTATGATCCTGTGTCCCTSCGTGTCCCTCTTGGTTGGTGAAATCCTGCTTGGAGGGATGACGTGACCCAGSTAATTGAAGATGATCAACAGCTCCCTTGAGCAAGGAGTTTTTCCAGAGGGTCGAAAAGAGGCGGTGGTCTCTCTCTCCCCTGCGGAAGAAACCAGACTTAGACGCTTCGGTTCCCTCCAGTTAGCGCCCAGTTTCGAACCTCTCGTTCCTGGGCAAGGTGATGGAGAGGGCAGCAGCGGAGCCATTGCAGCAATTCTTAAACGACACGGCCAGACTCGATCCCTTCCAGTCCAGCTTCTGTGCGGGGCACAGGACAGAGACTGTGCTGGTCTCCATCATAGAACCCCCCATTCTGTAGCGTTGCATTTCGTCCATCAATGTTTCACATTTGCACAAAGAATCAGCCAGTGTCAGAAGGGAGAGAGAGTTTCATCTATGCTGACGATCGTGCCATCACCGCCCAATCAGGAAGCTTTGAAATGGTTGAACAGAAGCTCTCCAGAGCTTTAGGTGATCTTACTGCCTATTTCAGGGGAAACCACCTGATTCCTAGTGTTTAACATTTACACAAATGACCCGCCACAGGCAGAAGGGACAGAGAGTTTCATCTATGCTGACGATCGTGCCATCACCGCCCAATCAGGGAGCTTTGAAATGGTTGAACAGAAGCTCTCCAGAGCTTTAGGTGATCTTACTGCCTATTTCAGYGGAAACCACCTGATTCCTAATGTTTAACATTTACACAAATGACCTGCCACAGGCAGAAGGGAGAGAGAGTTTCATCTATGCTGACGATCGTGCCATCACTGCCCAATCAGGGAGGTTTAAAATGGTTGAACAGAAGCTCTCCAAAGCTTTAGGTGGTCCATGCCTTGGTCACCTCTAGATTGGATTACTGCAATGCGCGCTACGTGCGGCTGCCCTTGAAAACGGCTCGGAAATTCCAACTGGTCCAACGGGCAGCAGCCAGGATGTTAACCAGGGCTCCTTACAGAGAGAGGTCAACCCTTCTGTTCAAGGAGCTTCACTGGCTGCTGTTTATCTTCCGAGCCCAATTTAAGGTGCAGGTGCTTACCTACAAAGCCCTGAACGGTTTGGGACCACCCTACCTGCGTGACCGCATCTTCGTCTACGAACCCATGCGTTCACTTCGGTCATCTGGGGAGGCCCTGCTCGTGATCCCGCCTGCGTCACAAGCGCGCTTGGTGGGGACTCGAGACAGGGCCTTTTCTGTGGTGGCCCCCCGACTCTGGAACACCCTCCCCAAAGATCTTAGACAGGCCCCTACATTGGCAGTCTTCAGAAAGAACTTGAAGACCTGGCTGTTCCGATGTGCCTTCCCAGATTAGGAATCTCCAATACCAAGTCCCAGAAGCACTTTAGTAGAACTAAGATCGCTGCACACCGCACACTGCACTGACTTATAACCCTACATACCTCCTGCCACATCAGCACTTTTAATCTTGTACCCATTACTCTGGCCCAGCCCAGTTTTATAGTGTCTTGATGTATTGTTTATTGTTTGTTGTTTATACTACTTAACTGTTTTTAATTTGCTTTAGGTGTTGTTTTGTTGTGTTGTGTTGAGTCCTTCGGGAGATGCTAGCGGGGTACAAATAAAGTTATAATAATAATATTACCGAATACTGCAGGGAAAACCAGCTTCTTCTTCCTCCTCCTGCTCCTCCTGCTCCTCCTGCTCCACCTCCCCATGCTCCTCCGCTTCTTCCTCCTCCTCATACTCCTCCGCCGCCGCCTCCTCGTCACATTGGCTGGAAGCACAGCTCTCCTGAGTCATGTCCTCATCCTTGAGCACCGGGCTGAGGACGAGAAAGGGAAGAGGGTAGTAACCCCAGGACCTAGGAAACTAGGCCGCCATCATCCAAATGAAAGTTTCATACTACACAAACAAACAAAACCCACACCCAAGGTGTCGATTGAACTTCTTTGATCTTGGTGTACCTGGGAAACCTTTCAGATCATCCACTACATTGGAAAGTAAAGAATGAGTTTGGGGCTGCTCCAATTTGCCCTCCAACCCTGCCTGTTTCCAGGCAGGTTTGGTCCACTCGAGCTGGCACAGCCTTGCATCCTACCTTTCCATCTCCACGGTGACATCTGGGGAACTCCCGGTGTCAAGCTCCTGGTGATCAGCATCTTGGTCGTCCTCACATTCGTGGCGGACGCTTCCCACGTTGCCAGGCTTAACTGATCCAAGGGAAGGGGAGAAGGCAGACCGTTAGCAGGCCTCCGCTCTCCCTGCTGGGGACTCAATGATCACAGGGACTCTGGGGGGAACCAGGCTCTGTCCTAGCAGAGGCTCTGACGGCACAGCTTGGGTGAGGCAGCTTTTTTAAAAAGACTAAAAGTAAGGAAAGGTTTCCCCTTGACATGAAGTCTAGTTGTGTCCGACTCTGGGGGGCGGGGGTGGTGCTCATCTCTATTTCTAAGATAAAGAGCCGGCTTTATCCGTAGACACCTCCAAGGTCATGTGACCAGCATGATTGCATGGGGCGCTGTTCCCTTCCCACTCAAGCGGTATCTATTGATCTACTAACATTTGCATGTTTTTAACTGCTAGGTTGGCAGAAGCTGGGCACACATACACCTCCTTTGATTTCCCAGAAGCCTCTGGGAAACTGGACAACAACCAAAATCACCCATCCAGTCCAACCAAAAAGGAAAAATTGGTTCCCTTGAAACTGTGGAGACCAAAATCCACTGATTGTGGTAATATGAAAATAACTAAATTGACTCCATGTATATATTACATCAACATCAAAATATTTATTTCGGTCATTGACCAGCACAGGAAATAGTGTCACATTTCCATACACACCTGGCATGTTTGCTACATTAAAAATATAAATATAACTACTAAAAACACAATATGGGTGAGGGAGCAGGAGGGGAAACAGGGTAAAAACATACAATGCCCAGATCCATCACCAAATTGTAGATTCAGAGAAGATTACTGGACACACAGTTAACGTTTGGGACTAGTCATTCCCTGACGGATTTTGTATGCTGCTGCACAGAACTTTGCAAAATTGTAGGTTGTAGCTGAATTAATATCTGCAAGTAGCATGGAGGTATAAAATTGTCCTGAATGGCCTGGGTGCTTGTATAACAGAGGTAAGAAGCCTGGCACGGGTATCCCTGTGGAACGGGCACTGAAGGAGCACATGTTCTATTGTTTCTACGTGACCCGAGTCACAGGGGCGGCAGAGTCTCTCTGGGAAATGGATCTTCCGGTAGGGGCCTTCCTTCGAGTACAGCTGATGGGAGAGCGTGGCATTGGGCCAGGGTGAAAGCCCTTCGATGAATAGGAACCTCTAAGTGTGTTAAATATGCCATAGGGGAGGCAAGATATCTGCTGTCTTCATTGATAAGGAAGGTTGGAACCGAGGCCAGATCTAGTTGTCGCTCTGTGTCTGTGATACGTTGTTTAATAAGTGCTTTGGCTTGATTGTAATCCATAGCGAATAGTAGACCTGGAGAAAATCCCAACGAGGAGATTTTGGATGCTACCGCCTGCTTCCATGTGGATTGGAAGTCATCCTCCATGGTTAGTGGGGCAAGGCCAAGGGGTGCACGGGACAGTCTGAGCCAGAGGTTGAGTATGGCCACCCACACCCTGGCCTCCACTCTCATCAAGCCCGTCTCTAGTCGCAGGGTGGCATTAGAAACGCATTGAGGGACCTGCAAGGCCGATCTCAGAAACTTTGACTGAACCAGTTCTAATGGGGCAAAACTGGGGAAGGGGCCCAGCTGAGCCCCATACAAGAGTTGGGCTAATGACTTGGCTT